GTAATGGTTAGGCAAATACCACCGGCGGAAAACTTTGCAGTTCTGAAGTGTCACCCCGCGCGGAAGTTTCGCTGACGATCGTCCACTCTATTCACTCGCCGCAAAGTCTCGAGCTCAGCTTTCGAAAGTCCATGAAAATTCGCTCGCCGATTTGTCGAAATTGCCGTAACTTTCCGCCACACTTTCGCGTATACCTCCTTGTCCGTGACGAGTATATTTATAGCCGCCTCGCACTCGCAACTGTAGCGCGTATATTTACCTGATATTTATATTTATATCTGTACCAACTGAGAGAGAGAGAGAGAGAGAGAGAGAGAGAGAGAGAGAGAGCGAGAGAGAGAGAGAGAGAGGCGCCAACGAATGACTGGTCGCGCGATGGACGCGACGTGACAACAACTTTATGTCCGATCGCGAGAAAGCTCCTTTACCGGAGCTTTCAATTGATGAGGCGATGCGACGCACGTCGCGGCCGGGTCGGCCGGCTAAGAAGCACGAAGGCGAGAGAAGCACGATCAATTCCACTAATGGGGGAACCAAGCTGCCTTCGCTGCAATTTTTCCGTATTCATGCCCGCCGGCATGAGAAAAAATGTAGTCCCAGTCCCAGATTCTCCATTGTGCGCTCGCTCAGCCGTAGCTCAACTCACTCCTCTCTCCGTTGTGTCGGCGTCGCACGTGCTGTATAAACTCTCCACTTGGTCGTACGGTTTTCGCAGCCCCCGCCGCGCCGTCTACCTGCTCGCTATTCGAGCACAGCCTTCTGAATAACAGTGTTCGCAGGCTGCGTTCTGCCGCGGCTGGGGCACTCGAGAGAGAGAGAGAGAGAGAGAGAGAGAGAGAGATAGCGAGGAGAATCGGGAACAATGCTTCCCGAACGGGAGAAGCCGCTATGTCCACATCGGCGAGAGAGACGTCGATGATTCCAATTGCTGCTGTTATCTATTCATTGCGAAGTGGCTTGACGTAATCGGCTCGAGCCATCGAGGCGGAGTTAATGCGGATACTCGGTCACTTTAAAGCAAAGTTAATTTCGCAAAGATCGACGCCGATGATCGGAAATCAATTCGTCGCGACTCGCGCGTCGGAGAAGCGTCGATCGAGCGTCTGTGCCGAAGTTGTCTATCTCCCTCTCCTCCTCCTTCTCCCTCTCTCTCTCTCTCCCTCTCTCTCTCTCTTTCTCTCTCTCGCGGTTGATCTCACGACACATTCGTGAGAACACGCTTCCTTCCGCGAGCGTAACATCGATCGCCGACGCCAGTCATCGCGACGCCGTCTGCGGAGCGCGCCGTAAATCCGCGGAAACGATTTCTCCTACTTCCAGCTTTATCCGCGGAAACACACAAGCGCTGCACCTCGTCATTCCGCGTCTCACGCTTATTAAAAATAGAGAGCACTGGAGAGAGAGAGAGAGAGAGGGGCGGAGAGAAAGGCGGACACAGAGCGCGCGCAATTCCTCCTCCTCGTTCTCGTTAAAGCGAACGACTACACGCGCGAGTGGCGGACAATACGCCCGTGCGAATTAACGGCGAGTGATAACGCCGACGAGTCGATAACGCGAGTCGGCGCGAGCACGACGACGAAAAAGGGACGCGACGTTCGCACGTGACGCGCCGCGCCGCGCCGCGCCGGTGTCGAAGGTAAATCTTCGGTGGCTTGGAGTTTCGGCTCTCCCCGCGAGGCTAATAATAAATCCTCCGTCTTAATGACTCCGAACGCCGAGCGCGTTAATTCAAGCGTCGCGCGACCTGTCGTCTCCTCGCCCGCTCCAATTAGATAAGGAATTTAATAACGCGAACTATAATGCGCCAGCGGTGGCGGCGCCGGAGGACGTAAAAATGCAGCGTGTACGATGTAATACGTTACGTCGCGTTCGCGTCGATTATTACTCGAGCGAGGGCACCGTCGTCATGGCCCGTGAAAGGGCCCCTCCAACGGGAGGAGCAAAGGGAGCCCTCTCCCGCTCCCTCAGCCTGCCACCCTCCGCGAGGTCGCGGGAGCACGACAGTCGCGTCGGGTTCCCGGTGACGTTCTTCTTCTCCTACCGCGCGCGCGCTTAGTAACGCCGCGTACGCGCGCGCGAACGCCCAGCCCGGAAAGGTCAAACGGGGTTCCTGACATTTTCGCGTTCTACCGAAATTGGGTTGCGCGTAAATCCTCCCAGGGTACAGAGAGAGAGAGAGGGAGAGAGAGAGAGAGAGAGAGAGAGAGAGAGAGAGAGAGACCGAAGTAGGTCTTCCGAGCATTAAGCGAGGGAGCCCGCGACTGGCCGACAACACCGGTGTCGTCCTCTTCGCCGGCGGCGATTTAAGCGATCGGCCGCTATTGTGCGTTTGGAATAACAGGGGGGCCGCGAATCAGCTCTCATGGCTCTAGTCGGCTGCGGGCCGGCTCTAGAGCCGCTAAGGTGGATGCTATGCGAGATCCGTCGATGATGTTGCCCGTCGTTGACACCTCCTTGAAAGGGACGGAATTCGCACTAGGGAGAGGGACTTCGTCAAAAAGAAGCATCGTCTTCGATTTAATCGATTGTCAAAAAAATTGTTTCTGCATAATCGATATTTTCTTAAAACTTATCGATAATAATCGATGTTTTCCTGGTTTATTTTAAATTAATGCGAAGAGTTATATGTTGCAACAATAAATTAATATATTATTAAAAGACCTTAAAGACCCTTTTACAATGGCTGCAAGCGTAAGGTTATATAAGAATAAGGCTATAAGCGTAAGCTACAAGAAATAAACCAATTAAAGTCGGTTGTTCTTATAACAGTCGACTGTTGTTGGTTTATTTTTTACTGTTTACTGTTTACTGTACAGCTTTGTTTTCGCAGCTATTGTAGACGGGCCTTAATGATAGTAAACAAATTTCCTAGTGATGAAAGTTTAGTGAGAAATCTAGTAATATAATCGACGAAAAGAATAATCGGCCCGAAAAATATCGGTCTGGTAATCGATTTTTCAAGAAAATAAGAATCGATGCTTGTTTCATCGATCGATATTTGCCCATCACTAATTCGCACCGAGAGTCCGGCCTTTCGAGAATCTCGGAGGAGCGCGTTGTTACCAAATAAAATGCGCTTGCTCGAGTCTTCCGTGCCGCCGCATCGGCAGTAATTAACACACCCGGACAGTTAATTACTGCGATATCACATCTTCGCGCGGAACACACGACGGGTTTTCATGCGTTTCATCGTGGTACAACCGACGCTTTTTGCGTCTTTCGTCCGCGGTATCACTTCGAGCGACCGGGGTGTGGCGACCTGCTGATCGATACTATAAAAAGGTCGCCTTAACGTCTATACAAGACTGCCGACGTGTGTGTTTGTTTGTGTGTGTGTGTGTGTGTGTGTATGTATCGCGCGAAACTACGCGAAGACGCCGCGTCGCGAACGCGCTTCATCTCGCAAAACACATCGGCGCGACGTAACGCGAGACGCGCGGTGGTTGGACGCGCGATCGTGGCAAAAACGACGAGTTGGCAAAATTCGCGACGATTGCTGCACGATGTGTGTGCGTGTGTACGTGTGTGTGTATGTGTGCGCGCGCGCGCCGTTAACTTCCAGCGTGATCGGGTTAATTAGCAGCGTCGAATCAGCGGTCGGGAAAACCGGGACGCTTCTTTGCATTTTCTCGGTAACGAGACCACTTCCCGGCCCGGGGCGACCGTCGAGAGATCCATCGATTTCGCGACGTCGCCGAGGGAGAAATAGTTTCGAAGCGACAGCGGTCGCGGAGGGTTAACGCGCGACGCGCCGTCTCGGCTTCTCCTCTGGCGCGCCGCGATAATTGACGACGAGAACACAATTGACGCGGCATCTTCGCGGCCATCCTTCGTGGCCCACATTCGTCGGCGAGGAGGTCGTTGAGGAGGAAGACGCAAACACCGAGTGGATGGGACTCGGTGATCAGTGATCGAGATATAGTCAATAGAACATCGCGCTCCGTCGCTGTTCTCGCTTCTCTTAGCTTCTTTCCATAGTAACACGCGAAGCTGTCTCGCCGATGAACAATTCCTCATGCCGCGGCGGCCCATTATGTGGGACGGCAACAATAGCTTTAGTAATAAGCCGGATAGATGTGAAGCGTACGCTACGAGAGACGCACTTTGCCGCATTTGCATTATAAAGTTGCCGGTGTTAGGCGTCAGCTCGGGCCGGACGTGTGAAATTGTTATCCAAGTGCGAAAGTACAAAACGTACTTCGCGCGAAATGGTCACTGATAGATACACTGATAGAAAAATATAGTTGAATTAACTATAATCTCACTGTATTTTATAGCTCATTTTGGCGTCAATCATATTTTTACAGTTCGTGGAACCTGCAAAATGTAGTAGAATAAACACAAATATATAGTCGATGATTGTCTGAAATAATTGTTTAGTTACTTTTACCACATATATGGTAATTTCTCATCTTCACAAATATAGTGAGATTTAATATTCACATAGTTACATCATTTAGCAAATACTCTGGTAATATTGACTATGTAAAAGAGTTACTTTACCTACCATTTTATACTTGTATCCATACAATAATTTTAGTTTAACTTACTATAATTCTTCGTAAAAATATTATATGCTTGGTTATGCGATATGCCTATATCGTTATTATTACCGATATTATGCTAATACTTACTACAAATATGATATTTCGGACTATAATTTAGTTACTATATCATTATAGTTCCAAATATCATATACTTTTCTCTCAGTGTAAAGAGCAAGTACGATCGCCCGCGCGCCTCCGCCATTCTCTTAAGGTGGTTTCTAAGATCAATAAGGGCGAAGGGAAAAATTGCTCGCGCCGCGCGGTATCGAGGCTGAGGGAAAGAAGATGGCAGGGGAGGGCGAGGACCACGGAGTCGCGTCCACGTTAAACGTCATACGGAAATTTTAGATCGCCGCCGGGAGCTGATTGGCTCCCGCGCGAAGAATGTCCGATTACTTTCCGCCCTGTCGCTTGTGCGACGCGAATAATTAAACGACTGATTTTCATGCGCAGCACGATGCCCTCCGATAGCATGGACGACATCGAGCTGAAGAACATTCAGCTGCAATTTCCGGCTCTGAGATACCTCTCTAGGGACGACGGCTCCGTGCGGGAAGAAAGGGTGGAGACCGACAAGGGAAGTTTGCTGGTGGCGGTGCAAGGAAATCGAGCGAAACCAGCTATCCTCACTTATCACGATCTAGGCCTTAATTGTGAGTGATTTTGAATAAAAACGCTCGGGACATTACTCAGAACCGTGGCCCGTCGGGAATAAATTCGGGGTGGGTGAAGCGTGAGAGGAAAAAGAGCCTGACGAATTCCACCGCACGTGTATTTTGCCCTTTTATTCGCCCGATGGGGCGCACGCTGATGACGCTGATGACGCGGTTTACACCACGACGGTGATACCAGCTCGCGCGTTTTACCGCTTTGAATCCGATTCCAATTTGCAGTCCATTCGGAGAATTCAGTTTCTAATTTCAGTTTGCTCGCGGATTTGAGCGATCCGATTTCCCGTGGTAATGCGATATTTCGTGAATGGCGTTTGTATAGATTGACATCCAGCATTTCTGTATCGGATGGAGGGGGAAGATGAGCAAATTATTTTTTCCAGACATCTCGAGCTTCCAGGCGTTCTTCAATTACATCGACATGCGTGTTCTACTCGAAAACTTCTGCGTGTACCACGTAAACGCACCCGGGCAAGAGGAGGGCGCACCGACGCTACCCGAGGAGTGAGTTAATTTTTCATCTAATGCATTTTAGATACGTCACACTAGTGTTCCGTAACAACTTCCGGTTTTACCGGCAGCTAAATGATCAAGTCCTTGAAATTAGGTTTGATACGTATAAAAAGAGCGCAGAGAGAGAGAGAGAGAGAGAGAGAGAGAGGGAGAGGGAGAGAGAGAGAGAGAGAGAGAGAGAGTCAGCTGAATCGCGTCCAGAACTAAAACGGGAAGAAAGACCCTTTGCTTTGTTTTATTAAGATCTCGTTGAACAGCAAACTAATTAGCACTTGGTGAAAGGTCAATGAGTGCATCTACAGCTAGAGGCGCTCATATGCCTCTCTAATCAAGTTTCGATCTCGTCTGGATATACGAAAGATACGCGCATCCTTTTATGACAGGCGGCTTTAATTAGCGCGAATCAATGACCTAATTAACATCTCAATCAAATTCAATTCAATTTCGCTCTGACAGCCTCCGCTCTCGCTCACAATTCTGCTAGCATGACAAATACAAAGGCGATAATTTTTATTATTGCGCACACCCGTCGTATAATATCGCCGATCGAAGCGCGCTCGTACGGGTTCGAGCTTATCGATTGTTACATAATTCGCCTCTCCGATCTATTATGCTAAGTGAAACCGAGATATAACAGATGAAAGTGAGACACGCGCATATTTCTCTTCCTCTTCCCGAGCTCGCGATATCGCGCAATCGTGCCTTCTGAAATCTCGCGAGTGAAACGAAACTCTCGAGGACGACGGAACCGATCGATCTTACCGCTAATAACTTTAGATTCATCAGGTTTTCAACGAAGAACGCATAAACCACGGTTACAATATAATAATGCAGAGCGCAGTGGCTTCGCGCGGTGAAAATTTAACGCGCCGTCATATTCGAGAATTCCTCTCTCTCGCCGTGTTTAATTATGCAGACCTCAAGTGAGCAAGGCTTTACCATGGGGAGACGCACATTCGGCTAAGCGCCGCGTTACAAAATAATTCAGGCCGCAATGCAGATTTGTATGCAGCGGTTGTGTCAGTTGGTGTTCGCTCGCGTGCCAAGTCCCGCCGCCAAAGGCCGCGCGAGCTCCGATGTATATCGATACATTAGCCTTCAAGCTGTTTACAGTCATATAATATTCATTTGTTTCGCAGAACGGCGATTATACAAGCAGACGCGTTAAGCTGATTCTACGTACATTAGTCTCAAGTCGCAAGCAAATTGACCAATCGCATTATTCTTCGATCGCAAAGAGAACAATCGATCGTGACCGGTCAATTCGCCTGCGGCCGCATGCGACTTGCGATGTAGAATAGGCTTTACGTTGTATCATTGATTATAGAATCGATCTTACTGGGGAGGATTCTGCCGGAGCTGAGGAGGGATAACGCGACAAATATCGTCGCGTTATCAGCAACGCGAAATCCGCTCGCGGAAATTTGTGTCGGATGGAAATATAATGAGCGCGCGCATTTCGCTGGAAATTTCAGAATTATAAATTGCGCGGCGCACCGTTCGATATTCTCGTGAAACGCTCGGAATTCCCGATTAATATCGCATTTCGTTTATCGCGTAATTCCTCGCGAATGCGGACGCGTTCGGAAAATCATCGACCCGTTGGAAAGCGTCGATATGTTTCCAAGGGCGCTCGCTCGAGAAGCGAGACTCGATTTACAACGAGCGAGTAACGACTTCGCAAGCAGCTTAGGCGCCAATCGAGTTTACGCGAAAGCACACCGTTATCGGTGGCAGGCATCGCCGATAAGTTGTTTTGAAAGGGACGACTCCCCCCGCTCCGTTTCAGCTACACCTATCCGTCCATGGAGGAGCTCGCGGAACAGCTGCTCTTCATTCTCGGCCACTTTGGCATCAAGTCCGTAATTGGCTTCGGGGTCGGTGCCGGCGCCAATATCCTGGCGCGATTCGCACTCGCCCATCCGGAGAAAGTTAATGCACTGTGCCTGATAAACTGCGTGTCCACGCAGGCGGGATGGATCGAGTGGGGTTATCAAAAGATGAACGTGCGCCACCTGAGGTCGCAGGGCATGACCCAGGGCGTCCTCGATTATCTGATGTGGCATCATTTCGGCAGGGTGAGTATGCGAGTGCGCGCGCGCGCGCGAAATTTCATTCTGCGACCAGTCCGGCTTGTGCGGTTTGACGATGAGCGTTGAGTCAGCCGCGAAACTAACGTACGTTCACAGCTGCGAAGTTCAATTACCGTCGCGATATTTTTGCGCGCCACAACGCGGAATAATAATAGACAATGTCCGTTTAACTTGGGCTTTACGTTAGAACTCAATTCGCTACGTACATATACACGTGTGTGTGTGAGAGAGAAAGAGAGAGAGAGAGAGAGAGAGAGAGAGAGAGAGAGAGAGAGAGAGAGAGAGAGAGAGAGAGAGAGAGAGAGAGAGAGAGAGAGAGAGCGTTGGGCATTCGACTGTTTAATCGCCCCGGATAATATGAAGAGTCCTGCGAGTCTGTTTTCGAGGCCCTTTTACGGGGTTAAAAGCGTGTTCCGGGCAAGATTATCTCACGTAGTTCATTTCGTTGGGTACACTACACGGAGTTAATAAACCGCCGAGTTCTCTTATGAGGCACGAAATAATGTCAAGCGAGTTAGCGCTCATGCGCGAGCACAAGATGAATTATCGACGTCGACGACGACGACGACGACGAGGCTTAGGCTTTCAAAGGGCTTGCGGAATATCCTTCCTCACGCGGAGCGCTGATTAGACCGGCGCTCTCGTCGCGCCGTTGTACGTACGCGAAGATGATCGCAGTTCAAAGACAACCTCTAACCTTTGCGATTAACCTCGATAATTAAGCGAACATAAAATCGAATTGCATCCAACCTTATTACACATGTACACACAGAATGTATCCCACGCGTGAGACGGAAATAATCGGCTGAGCGACGTAAGACCGCGCGATTAAATCGCGCGACACGCGCCTTGACTCTCTTGCGAACATTGCGGTCTAAGCGGGAACAAGATCGCGGTACATGCCGCGAGATTAAGGCTGATCGGGAGTGAATCAAGTGAATAATACGAGCGAGTCGAGCGAGATTATCCAGAACCGAGCGCGCGCGTCCGCTCTCGAGAAAGCACGAGGGAAGGCAATTTTCAAATAAAGCCGCCGGCCAGCAGACACAGCGTGGCTCTTTTCTGGCTTCGCCTGGCCGTCATTCCGTCGTTCCGTTGCATTCCCTCCCATCCGACACTAATGATGGGTCTTGCCGGTTGTTTTTACCTCCATCGCGACGCGAAGAAACCGGATCGTGAGCGCCTACGACGTGCGCGCTCGGCCGGGGCTGCGAAATCGGTTCGCGATCGGCAGATGTAAAATAGCCTCAGGAACGCGTTTTACTTTGATTATGGACTCGCGTGCAGTCGCGAGATCAACGCGCGCGCGAGAGAGAGAGAGAGAGAGAGAGAGAGAGAGAGAGAGAGAGAGAGAGAGAGAGGGAGAGGGAGAGATGCCGGCTGACGGTGAAAAAAAATTCCGCCATGTGCACACTTGTGATTTCAGCAAGCCGCCGATTATTTCGCGCGCTCGACGAAAAGCCGGAACGCCGCGCGCGTGCGAATCGACGCGAACTGTTTCGTTAAGCATTCGCGTAACGTTAAATAACGAGTATTTGGATCGCAAATCGCGTCACGGTCGGTGTGACTCGCACTCGGGATGAACGCCGCGGCGAGGCGGCGCGCTCGTTAAAATCGAGGTGATCTTTTCGAGCAGGGGACCGAGGAGCGAAATCATGACCTGGTGCAGGTGTACAAGAACTACTTCGAGCGCCGCGTGAACCCGACGAATCTCGCCTTGTTCATCGACAGTTACGTCCGTCGCACGGATCTCAACATAACGAGGGAATTGGACCCGACGCGCAAGAAGGAGGGCCTGACGCTTAGGGTGCCGGTGATGAACATCACCGGTGCTCTAAGCCCTCACGTCGACGACACCGTAACGTTAAACGGACGCCTGGATCCGACGAACAGCTCCTGGATGAAGGTGAGTTTCTTCATTCCGTTGAACGCCCCCGGCAGCAAAGTAATTTTGATACTTCCCGTTGATCCCGTTCTTCGAGAGATAGCTCGGATATTGGCTGAGGCTCTTAAAGGGTCTTAATCCGCGCGAGCGTTTCCGGGGCGAAATACGCGCGCGAGATAAGCGTGAGATTGTAATCACGCGTCTCATAATTGCATCCTGTTCACTCCTTCAGATATCGGACTGCGGCATGGTGTTGGAAGAGCAGCCCGGTAAAGTAAGCGAGGCGTTCCGGCTGTTTCTCCAGGGCGAGGGATACGGTAAGTGAGCGTTTTCGCGAGCCATACTCTCTAGAGATTAATTAATTCACCGAACTATCGATTCGACAATTCTCATTGATCTTCACTGGTGTAAGCAATTCGCGCACGCGTCGTCGGGTTTCGTAAGATGTCTCGTGATCGCCTGCAAGCGGAAGACTGCGAGACACGTCGGTAATTACTGCCAACTACGATCGTATCTAGGAGAGACTCGTGTCGGGATGTCGTAAGAGAGCTTTCGGCGGAAACGCGGATGTGAATGGTATATAAATCTTTTTTTCGCGAAAACAAGAACCAAACAACTTCAGCGCATTGCAGGCGGTCGCGCAACTTCTCGCACGGCTAAACGCACGTCGAAGCGGGCAGGCGCAGGGAGACTTTGACCGTGGCTAGAGTTAAATTCTAGAGTTAAATTCGCTCTATCGATCGGTGTATCGTGTCGCTGTCTCGATTGAATTTGGCCTACTGGATCTTTAACATAATAATCGTCGATTGTCCCCGCGCGACCACATTCCCTTTCAACGATAGATGCTACACGAATAATTCGTAAGCTCTTGCGCAGCTTGCGAGGATCGAAAAGTACCGCGGACTCGACAAAAATCTAAAAATAGGAGATCGTGAAAATTAACAATTGGCGAACTGTATCGTTTCAACGACGAGTATCTTAGTAATACTACCGTTTGGCCGTTTGTTGCAACTCACGATTCCTCAGATTCCGACTGGTCTCGGGCTCGGACGACAAAGTCACGCTTGTAAATTTCGATCGAATCGTTCGTGTAATCTAACTTTAACTTTGATAATGACTGTGAGAGGAGGTGGTAGAGTTGAACGGTAACGGTGCATTCGCGTGATGCAACCTAAATGCACGTTCTCTCTAAGTAAATGTATATCAAATCAAGACTTTGCAAAATAGTCATCGTTATACGACGAGTTAACGTCTTAGCTAACTTTAAGATGTCGAAACTTTGTTCTTTTATAGCAATGTTGCGTACATTGTTTTACGTTACGGAGCGTGACTTCGCGCTGTGACAACCGTTGTGCTTACGTGATTACGCGAGAGAAACGTTGTAGAAAGAAACTTACACTCATGTGTAAGTTCACAATGGAATGACGCTTCTCTTTCTCGTCACAAGTCAGGTTTATCGTTTCTTTCGGCTTTTTAAGTCACAAGAACACTATGCTGAACCACTGAACATCATGCTTTCTCACGAGCCGTCGTAGACGAAGTCTACCCACCAAGGTCCGGCTAGATAATTACGCAAATTGATTTCACGTCGCGTGTCTTTCGGTTCTTTACCCCCGACTTGCTTTCACTCACCGATCAGTACAAAAGTTACGTCATTTCTCATCAACGAATGACCGCGAATGACATTCAAACACGGCCTCGAGTGAGTCGTCGCGCCAAATAGATCTGTCGTTTCTCGTCGCATCGCACATCTCGTCACCGTCGTTAACTGTGTTGTTGTTGCGATCGTCGAATTTCGCTATACTAGCAGAATTTCCACGTTGTACAAGTGACGCGATATTTGGACATCGCTGAATCCGAGTGTGAGAACAGGACTGATATTGCGTGTACTATACTTCGTTTGTCGCGATCAGAGCTGGATGTACCACTACGACAAGATTCACACTAAATAAGCCGCTTTATCTCTGTGCTGACGAAAGGCGGCGAAAGGCGCCTGATTACACCGACATTCAAAAATACGTACTCGAGCATGTATCTCTGTTCATTGAGAGCCATTGGTTTGACTTGATAAATAAAAAAGAGTGACTCTGTGAAAAGGAATTGCATTGAATTCGCCTGCGACTTTTTACCGCTATACCGCTATACTTTCGAGCTATATTAGAGAGAGATAGAAAGAAATAGAGAAAGAGATAAAACAAAGAAATAAGGCAAATAAGAGAAAAGAGTATTATACATGTTCATCGACTTGCGCCTTTATTTCCCACGCGTCTCGGATCGATCGAGTGGTATGTATATATTACAACAATCTCAGCTGAACCAGTAGCGTAATTAGTTTCGGCTTGTTTGCTATTTCTGTTTTGGTTATTTTCGAAGCAGTTCCAAACGCTAAGGACCGCGAGTCCTTGAAGTGGTGACGCTTGTAAAATTAAGACATTGCGTTCGTACACACGCGAAGAAATTAATGAACATTCGGCCATACGATTGTCCGTTGTCTAAAAACGACTCGGATTTATCTCGCGACGGCGCGGCGTGATTCATTAGAATTAATTAGAATTAGAAGTTAATGTTATTATTAATTATTTTACACAACGAGAAAAATAATTCGAGAGTGGTATCAAGCTGTTTACGAAATTGTTCGATTCATTACACATAGAGGGACGGTAAATTGATCAGTCAGTCAGTCCAGTTATCGGTTGTACAAACCGATAAATATATATAATAAACATTTTTCCATTCGGTATCGACGTACGGACCAGAGTCGGAAGGCAACGGACACTTTGCCGAGACAAAGAAAATTTTCGAGCGGTGCTTTGAGTAAATTAATTGCTGCACCGCTATCTGTCGCTGCAATCCACTCGTGATCTCAAAGAGGAGAATAAATAAATGAGAGATAATTGGCCTATCGATGTTACGCACCAGCAATGCTTTGAAACCTAGCAGTAGCGAGAGTTCAGTACCGCCATGCTGCCACACACCTGTGCCGATGATCTTTAAATGGAACTTCTTTTCTTATGCGTTTTAGTGGTGAGATCCCCGCGGAAGCCCGTGAAGCCAACAACACCCGAAGGTAATTGTAATTAGGAATTGAAGGCCGCAAGGAGTCGAGCGCGCAGTTGGTCAATTAGGCCACGTCTATGCGTTAAGTAAGTCGGAATTCAAACTTTTTTCGGAAGGTATGAGAGATACTAACTGCGAGATAACGACACGTCCTGGAAGATCTCGGATTTCCCGAGAGTCTCCAAAAAGCATTAAAAAGCGGACGGGAGAAAAGACTAACCACTTTGACTAACCACTCTCTGATACGATTCTCCTGATACCGCACTGACCTCCTCGTTTGCTACGCTGTGTGTCGATGGCAGGTCTATGAAAACTTTCGCCTCGTTAAACTTCCCCACACACGTATCGGTGTGTCACCCCATCCCCATCCCCATCTTTATTTCGCGTCTGTACAAGTTCCCCGTGTCTGTTCTGTTTTTGCGAAATCTGACGACAAAGATGCGGTTGACGAATTTCAGACGCTAAAGTGGTGACGCTAATCACACACGGTGTGAACGATAAAAATGCCCGGTGAAGTCGATGCACGATGAATCGGTCTTATCCAATGAGTTCTTCTGTTCCATAGTTCTCGGTAGTCGGTAGCGACATATCCGTTCGCAATATTAACAGGGATCGACCTGTTGCGCTATCCTCCGATACAGGTGATCCAAATTATCCACTTTACGTAAATAAGAGAGAGAGAGAGAGAGAGACTAAGTTACATTTTATAACATTACACACACACACACACAGACACACACGTGTCCCACCCACATTCACTCACTCATATCGGGACATGTTGAAACGTCGTCGTCATTCATTGACTTCGTTCGTCGGAACAATGACCGAACAATGAAGAACAAAAAGCAATCTCGCACCTGAGTATAAGTATAGAGTAGTGTAACCAGTCCATGCTAAAAAGCCACAGCGCCTCGCTATGCGCACACGCAACAATCCACCAACCAACAACAATGCCACCCACCCAAGATACCTTCTTTCGTTCTTTGCATGTGCGCTTTTCTTTTCCTTTTGGGACAACTCTTCGTTCGGCGGTCGATTTTTTTTACGCTCGCGTAACAAAATTCGAGCGAACGAACGGAACTTCTACCACGCGCGTTCTACCACAGCCTCCTCAAGGCGAGGTTGACGACGGCAGACTGACGAAGCCGAGATTGCGCTACCTTTCCTCTATTTCCTCTTTTCGTTTACAGTGGCCCCGCTGTCGCCGTTAAAGATGGCCGACTACAGATTGGCTTCGTTGGAGGGACTGAATCACGTCTGCAGCAAGAAGATCGACTGGCCTACCGCGACCATACACATCACGGAGAATCCGATATCGGAGGCAGTCGTTTGTTAAGATGTCGATCGCCGAATTTCATCACCGCCATCGATTTTCGTTACGCAATCAAACGAGCATACAATCGGAAGACGACGCGGCGACTTGGATGTCGGTAGCTTTAGGAAGGTTTCGTCGGGGCAACGATCCCTCGCGGCACTAATAAAAACGCGCTGGTTTCTTTCCGGAAGCTTCTGTCGGCACCGCACTTACTTTTGGAACCGCGACTTTCAGCTGGGTCGACCACACGCGTTCGTAATAAGTGTTTAATTCTAAATAACTATAAGTTAAGAGCTTTAAAAACGGTTTTTATTACTTAAGAGATATCGGATGTTTTATCTGCGGTTGTTCTTGGGTACGCGCATTGTTACTAATAGCGAGCGGCGTCGATTCGTTAAGGATACGGATAAGAGAATAATGTTAACGTTGCGTACGACCACGTTGAGTTTCAAGCCGAGTCCCACTTTCGGGACTTTTCACGAACGGTGCGGCGCGACTTTTTCAGAATACCGTTCGCTCTTTTTATCATCATGAGAGCAATGTTTGCAATCGTTTTAGCGGGTGTTTACAGTTGTTTGAGAAACAATTTATTTGAATGGCAGGCGGGTGTTTCTTAAAGTTTCGATGATTCTCAAACGAACATTCCCCTGCGAATATTTTAATATATCATTATCCGAAGAGGTTTAAGAGAGAAAGAGAGAGAGAGAGAGAAAGATGAAATGCGAATAAAAATGTTCAACACTTCGACGTGTACTTCTATACGTGTGTGGGTATACACGAAAGCCGTGACTTTGTAATGTCAAAACTCGACAGACTTGATGATTATGAATTTTCGTACCAATACGCGTAACATTTTACACGATAATAACGTTCACGAAAAGCAGAAAAGAAGAGGCTCCTCCGATATGAGTGAGAGGAAACTCGCGTGTAAATTTTTAATTTCGAAAAAAAGAGAACCCAATATAACGGTAATTCTAATAAAAATCGACGAAGAAATAAGTCACGTCGTCGCGAAACGACGAGAAAAAGTGTGATAACACGTTGCAAAAAAAATGTGCACCTCCGCTTTTCGTGCTCGTAAGAAACTCGGAGAGAGACTCACGGTAGATGTAAAGGACCAGCAGAAATTTTTAACGACTTGCACACAACTTCTCGCCAAGTGACGTCCAAAAAGAAAAAGAATTCCGCCGCATGGTGTATATAACGCGTGGAAGTACATTCACTGTTTTACGGACTTTTTTATTGTTATATATAGGAAGAAATACCACTACTACTTTCCAACGAAGTCATTGTCAACGAAGATTATAATTGACGAGAAAGAGCCCTGCGACGAGGACAATTTTTCCGTTACACTTTGCGACGTCAACGAAGAGAGAAAGAAAGAAATGGGAGGATCGCTTGAGCACGTCGTTATGTTTCTCTGCTTCGTCGTTCGCGTCTACTTTGATTCGCGAACAATCGACCAGTCCCGAGTAAAAATGTAAAGCTCGTATCCGCCACGCGTGACCGTGACCATTTTTTGTTTCTCGCTCCTTGACACGGCTCGACGTTATCCAAAATATTTCGCGATTTCGAGATAACGAGATTGAAACGCGGTAGTGAAGCACTAGTGTCGATATAAACGATTACGAAGTAGGTATTACTGTTACTGTTGATAGTCAGATATCCTTGGTGAGTTCGCTTATACAGCTCATCACAGTCTAACGACGAGATCAACGGAGTATAAAACGAAAGATCGACCATGTTCTTTCAACGATTCGAGAGAGAGAGAGAGAGAGAGAGAGAGAGAGAGAGAGAGAGAGAGAGAGAGAGAGAGAGAGAGGGAGAGAGAGAGAGAGAGAGAGACGGCAGCTTCTCGCGATATGAGATTCGGTGTTCCCGTCATGGACATTATCCCTGAAGAGGGAAATGTTTTTGACTACCTACGATTCCTGCTCCTTTAATCGAGCTGGGGATTCGCTCGTTCGTTTGCACCGTTTGCATCATTTTTTTTTATTAATAAGAGAAGAGATTGCCCGCATAAACAAGGAGGAAAGTGCATGTGAGAATGCTAATGTTTAAAGACGAAGTGTAAGAGAGGAAGGAGAAACGAGGATACGTAATTAGTCGTTACAAGAGTAAGAAGAAGGAAGGAGTAAGGGACATACAACAAAAGTCGAGAGAACTCGGTGTCTCTGTACGGTTTTACCGGGCTTATTCGAGCCTCTAGCGTGATATGATAAGACGTGCCTGCTATACGATGTCGTACGTAGCTTTCGAAAGTGTGTTTCACAGCTTTTTAGTTTTCTATATATACATATTATGATTCTCTCTCGCGCGGTGCTCCCCCCCCCCCTCTCGCGAAATTCATCACTTTTCGCGCGTCTTCTCTCGAAGTATTTTCACATTTCACGACGATCGGCGCATCGACATATCTTTTTCTAAATCAATTTTAACCAAGGTGATTGGAACTGATCGAGCGCGTGTGTAACGAACTACGACGAACATTTTGAATCGAAAATTTTTTAAACAAAACGACAAGAAAGTCAATAATATTGATAAAATGTCGGTCGCACGCGACATCGCGTCGGAAACGGACTCCCTTGGGAAAGAAAAAAAGAAAAGAAGAAAAAGAATTCCGGAAGTTCGCCAATTCGAGACGTTTACATTGAACATCGATCGCATCGATATGATGTGCATATCGCGACAATAGTTTACAAACTTGTGTTACCTTCTTCTTATTTCGGAGCAGATAATAGGTGATGAAAGAGAGAACGCGAGAACGAAGGAGAAAGTCGAAACAGCGGACAATCTCGAGGGACAGGAGGTTTAAGCGTTTCGTGTAAAAGAGAGTTTATAAGAATATATATATATATAATAAATATATATATAAATATACGTCGCATTAAACTTAGATTATCGCAGAGAGATGAGGCAGAGTGATAGTCGAGTGCGTAGTGTTAAGATTATATATACGGGGCTCGATACGAGACGATTGAGAGGAGCGCACGCATTAATCATTGCTAACGCGAACGCTACTAACGGATAACGTAGCTTTTAAGGACTACCGATGCTCCGCCGTTAATCCCTTCGTTTCCGGATAGACAAATTCCCCCGCGGACACTTGCCGATCATTGGACGCGAATTATCTGGACGCTCAACGACAACGAATTTGTTGAATCTGCACATCGACGTAACGTATTGAATTTAATTAGACATATCGGCCGAGCCCAATATTACGCGCGATAGTACCATGAAATTGTTCGTCGACTGATCGGTCTCAATCCCGAATATTCGCCCCCCACGTTACTCGCGAGACGCATATCAATGAATTTTTAAACGACTTTTCGACAACAAGAAGGATCTGTCGGATTTGCATGTTGCATCTTAATTGGCACACGTCCACGTCAACATCGAAGAGTATCGCTCGGAAAAAAAAAAAAGGAGCGCGACAATGCCGCTGGTCTCGAAGGGTTTAAACGATACATCCGGCATGCGATCGAGAGCGGATCGATTTTCAGCATCCACCTTCTACCTCGCGCGAGGATAACATGATTTTCCTGCGCCGCATCGACGCGCAAAGCTCATCCTCGAATGAAATTTCTAATTTTCCACGCGGCATCGCGGAACAGATTGTAGCAAAGTGTATTAACCACTCAGTATAAATGAGATATAGTACAGTAAGCGAAATAAACTTAGCGCTGGAGCTTGAAAATACACACATATACATAAATAAATAAATAAATAAATAAATAAATAAATAAATATAAATATATTATACAGATTAAAAATGACACGTGCGCACCGAATATGCATCTTGTTATTTATAATAAACAGATACGAGAAAAATAATGGGATTGTATGTGACATCTTCTCTCCCCTTCAATCTCGTTTTTAATCCAGCATATTTCCAAAAAGAAACAGAGATTTTCGAGACAGATTTTCATCAACATCAACATACGAAACAGTCCCATCTTGATGAATATTATTTTAAATCGACAATTTTCATTATCTAAGTTAGTAAACTTTAAATTTCGAGAACAACGTAATTTCTTTCGGAGAAAAAAAATAATTTTTCCAATCAAAAATTTCTAAGTAGATTCGAAGGAACGTTTCGACAATAACAACAGATTAACAGATTACAGATCGTCCGGTCTCGTTGAAACGTAATAATATTAATTCGACAGTTTACATAACGTTTCATTTGACACCATTTGTCCATTCTTTCTGCCATCCATTACGATCCATCCGTCACGAAACTCGCACATTTGGTCTTCCTACGTGCGCGAAAAAAAGCCCGAAAGCAGAGCGAGCTCCCGGATCCCGACTGAGAGATTCAGGGAGGTCGCCTCAGGGAGATTCAGAAGAACGATTTGAAAAGGGAGGAGAAGGAATTCAGGGGGTACGCGTGATGAAGACATCTGCATTTTTATGAAGACCGTTATTAACTCCCGAGGCGCGTTCACGAGCGCTTCGTTAAGAATCAGGGAGCCGGCTTAATTACGAGTAAAACGTCTTCGTCGTCGCGATGAAGTCACCAGGACCTCGGAATAGCATGACGCTTTGATCTGCTCGTCGACAATGACGAGGCCATATCAGATGCCATTTTTATCGGGAATATTCGCGATTACAAGAGCAACATTGTTTCAGCCAGACGACTCGAAACAAAGCCGGTCCGTCAGTTATTATCTAACTGGAGAATGCCGGAAGAGGCGATATAACGCACGTGCAAAACGTTCTCTCTGTCCAGCTGCTCGATTATTTTAGCACGGATACGAAAAGTCCGATAGATTTATTGGAAGCACATGCGACTTGGATTTCAATTGTGCCGCGATAATGCAACGCGTCATAAATCTTCGCTCGTTTGCTTTGACGGATCATAATAGATCACGGCGGTGCGTTTCCTATTGAGAACACTTTGCGGAATTATGATGCTCCATAAATAGCATAGTGGAGAGATCTCTTTTGCGAAAGAATACGTCGATATACGTTGGTAAAATTATAAACGATAACACCGCGCGTGAAAGGATTAATTGCGAGGAGAGTTTTACGAGGTCGCTTATCGAGCAAGTAACGTCGCAAAAGTCGCGCTCGTTGCACGTAATCGTTGACGTCCTTTTGCGAGATTGCAAATTACTCTTGCTATAAACGACGATAGGAGGGAGGACGTAGACTCGACTTCGATCGGTCTAAAAACACGGAGGTATTGTAACGAGGAGCTTTCGCGAATCGAGAGGATACGTGTCGTCGCGGGACGTTTATAACGCTCGTTCCTCACTCGCTGTAGCTGTCCTTTCACGGTTCCCTCCTCAGGTACGCGCGATCACACGCACGCATCATCACACGTACGTGCGTGCATCGTGGCGACAAGAAACCAGTCTTCTCAACGATTTTTGCAACGACGAAACGACTAACGTCTTCGCGGAATCGACAGGATCGTCATCGTACACACGTATATCCGTTCATCCGCCAGTCGAAGAAACTGGTCAATTATCCATTTTGACTCTTTTTATCGTTCGTACTTATTAACTGTCAGTTTCTGAAAGCTTTTACGCCACTTTCAAGTCTCTTTTCAGAAAGACTCTTAGATGACGCGAAACGGTAAGATCGAGTCGGTAAGGGCGAATAAACCGCATAATCGTATAATCGCGTAAATATTCATCATATAGTAGTAATATAGTAATAACTTGACACTACCATCCAACAAACTTATAAAAGAGCTACATGCAAAGGGCTCTAATTGCACTGTTAATAAATATATTAGGTGTACAGATGAATAATCCAATTTTTTCAGCTACATTCAAGGTTTATTTTAAAAGGAAGTAAATTAAATTGTTCAATCAAAGTATTCGCCGTTGATTTCTATAACTTTAAGCCATCTTTCAGGCAGCTGATGAATTCCATCTCGGAAAAATGTTACGTCTTTGGACACGATAAAGTCGTCAAGCCATTTTCGGATCTCATCCACTGATTGGAAGTGCATGATCGGACAAGGCGTGTTGCATCGATCGGAACAAGTGATAATCGGATGGAGCAATGTCTGGTGAATACGCCGCACGTGCTGCAAGACGTCCCAGCCAAGACTCATTATGGTGTCTTTTGTATTGGATTTTGAATGTGTGGCCTGGCGTTGTCATGCAACGATTTCACTGGACGTTCTCCCAGTTTGCCAGTATACGGGCGTTTTCGTTCCAATTCTTGACTCAAGCGGATTAATTGACGTTGGTAGCAGTCCGCGCACTAACTGTTTCACCCGGTTCCAACAACTCATAATAAAGCACGCCCTTGATATCCCACCAAATGCAGAGAAGAACCTTCTTTTCTAAGCGATTTTGATGATTCGCCGAGATTTTCCCATGACTTTCTGCGTTTCGGATTGTCATAGAGTATCCATTTCTCATCGCCCGTAACGATTTTCCACAAGAAAGCTGCTTTCGACGCTGCTTATTGAGAAGAGAAAGACACGCTGCCACTCGTTGATTTTTGTTGGTTTTAGTGAGTTCGTGCGGTTAGGCACCCATTTTCCTTCTTTCTGGATCTTTCCTATCTTATGTAGTCGTTTGGAAATCGTTTGCTGCGTTACTCCCAACTGTTCTGCAAGCTCTTTTTGTGTTTGTACCGAATTCTCAACGAGCAGTTGTTCCAAATCATCATTATCGCACTTCCTAGGACCTCCAGGGCGTTGTTTGTCGATTAGACTGAGATTACCGCTTTTAAACCGCTTAAACCAAAATGCGCACACATCGTACGATGCAACACCTTCGCCGAGAAAGGAACGAATCGATTCGCACGCTCTTGCAGCATTTTTTCCTTGTTGGAATTCATAAAGAATGCAGCGTCGGATATGCACCTTATCCGTTGCCATTTTCGACTGTACTGAACTGAATACTTTTGAAGGTTATGTTGGGCCTTTCGCCAAACTATATGTTCTCTTTAATAGCTATATGTCAACATTGCATAATCACAAAAGAGCGGGAGAATCTATTCAATTTAAAATTGATTTCATAACTGCTTAAAATAATTTGGATTATTCATTTGTACACCTAATACATAATATGTACGTATCGTTTAAAGTTACTTTCGCGAGGACTCGCGACTGATTTAATAAGTTTTGTAAGTTTGTTATATTCGTACGTGTCCCTTCCCTTTCGCATTGCAAACGCAATGTGAAAATATCGCGAGAATATCTCATCGCGATTCCCAGCGATCAATTAAAGTTTGAACGAAAGACTTACAACTTTCAACCTCTTACAAACTGCTTTCCACGGCTTGCGCGCGGCGCGATAGTCTAACACCGCATGGCAATGGCGACGGTGGAAAAACGGAAAGCCATTCAGCGGATGATGTAAACAATCGAGGCACAATACAAAACGGACCTACCGGGCATTACGACGGACGGACGATAAACGTAACAAGAGCCACGACATAACCTATTGAAAACACCACAACGTTACCTATCGGCTGTCTTGGCGCTCGTCGGCAATCTTCGGCGCACCTCGTGAGTCTTCGGGCGTGCGCGCCAGCTGGCGGTGCGCGATTCTCTTTTGATCCGGCGCGCGTATTCTTGAAGCGACCGGCGTAGGAGTGAGTTCGTGTGCGCGGTAGACGTTGGATGAGGGTGGCCGCTCGAGAAACACCTTCGCTCTCGAGCATTCGTGCGCGGATTTCACGTCGCACGCCGTGTTCCCCGCGTTCGCGCGCGCGCGCGCGCGTCTCTTCGGTTTAGTGGATGACGCGAGTGTGTCCGCTTTTACAGAGAACGCTGCTGCGGAAGCTGTCAGCGTCGAGATCGTCGTCGTCGTCGTCATTACCGCCGCCGCCATCGCCGTCGCCGTCGCCGTCGCCGTCGCCGTCGGGGTAGGTTATGCCACCTTGAACACGCAAACCGCTCTTGGTGTGCTCCGAGAGAGACTCCGGGACTCGCACGACGGGGATTTCGATCGACGAGGATCTCGGTCGAAAGGACGAACGAGAGAGAGGAGCAGTGCGGACACACTAGCGCGATGCGCCGCTTGTGACACGCGCATTCCGAGGTCCGAGCGTTCTCTGCGCGAACAGGTTCACAGCGGAATTTGAAGAAGGGACCAGCGCTGGGCCCCGGCCGGCGCTACGGTCTCAGGCGTGAAGTTATCGCCGCCGCGTCTTGCAGTCGTTCGATGTGAAACTGGCGGGCGTCGTAGGAAGGACGCTGAGTTCAAAGGCTCTCGCGCGTTGAGATCGCTTTACGTGTGTAGTGCGGTAGTGGTGCAGTGGATATGCCTCGCTGGTTGTTGTGAGGGTGCCCCGGAGTTTCCTCGATCTTCGTTGGATCACGAGGACGCATCATGAGGCCGGCCACGATCGCCGGGATTTGCGTGCTCTTCGTGGTGCTGTGTGCCGATCGAGCGGATGTCATTGAGGAACGAGGTATGTGAGTTATTGTTTATTTTCGCGTGCTACTTGGGCGTGCAAT